TTTTTATAGAGGGGTTTTTTACCTTAAATTTTTCTGGAGTTAAGAGATTTCCTAAAAATTAGGTGTTTTAGTGATATCCAAAGGGGCAGGAACAATATCCTAAAGGGGTAGAAAGACATCCATAGGGGTTCCAAAATTGCATCCAATGGGGTTCCAAAATTATTAAAAGGTATTATGAACAGACTCCTCAATAGGGTGGGGGGGGGGGCTATATTAGATGGAATGGCCCAGTGTGCTGCAACAACTTTTAAAATTTGTATATATGTTTTTAAGGCACAATATGTAATGGAGTTTGATATGATCAGCACAACCTCAAGGTCTTGACTGAATGAACAACTTATCTGATATACTCCTAGTTCCAATACTTTGCTGTATATTATCACCTGCTCAGATGTCAGTTGGATCACTTTGAATGAACATTGGAGTGGCACAATAAAGTGTCTGTATTAGGGAGGAGTCTATAAGGACTGAAGTAAAAGCACACTTTTGGATATTTGAATCATAGCAACTACATATAGTGTAGGTTTCAAATAAAGTTTGAACAATGTACAACTGAAAATAAAAATGTATTTAATTTGAAACACTTAAAGGAATTACAACATATTATATGATAGTCATATGTACATGATTATAGGTATATTCATTAGTTTTACTAGCTGATATTTATGACTATCCTGGGACAACATTTTATTTTTCCAAAGAGATTTTACTTGCATGATAGTAATAAGTTTAATAGTAACAGAGAAGTGTGATGGATATGTGCAAGTAATTATCATTAGAAATACAAATAATAAACTGTAATTTTGACCATTGTAAATGTATTATTAAAGAAACAAAATACAAAAGTCAAACAAGGCTATTTAACATAATACAGTCATAATACTAGACTGGTTAACTACTGGATAGAGGGATCATGAAAATCTTCAAAGATTACTACCATAGCTCTGTAACAGGAAAAGGTATAGTGAGTTAAGGTTTATTCACCTTGATGAACAAAATTATATAGCATTAGAAAACTATAATGCCATCAACTAATTCCCATTTAAAAATTTTCATGTTGGTCACTGTGAAATACAATCTTGAGGCCATCTTAATGATTGTTTACTATCTGATTGATGACATGATTATATATATTTCCAATTTTCCATGGAATCCAAGTTGGTTTTTTTCCCAAGTTCATGTAAAATATGGTTCACCTGTTAAAATAATAAAATCTTTATTAGTTGTTTTGTAACAGAACAGTACCTGCTTTAAATAAAATATAGGAAAGAGAAAATTGAAATAACAGTTGTACTGTATATGGAACAGAATAAAATCTTTCTAAGCATTTCTACTGTTATCATAATTGGATTAACTGATGAGATAATATGAAGTTTTTCTGTATGTTAAAAACTGTGATTTCTGAAGAAGTCTTTCTGTATGGGTGAAATGGAGTCTTTCTGTATGTGTGAAACTGTGTTTATTAGAAAATGTGATTTCCGAGACTCGGCGAAAATGTGAAAGCGACGTGTGAAAAAAATCGAATAAATTCAGTATAAATGTACAGTACATACCTTGATATACAGAACAATCAGTCAATATCATTTCATATTCCAGGCAACACAATCAGTGTTTATTCAGTCGCATTTGAGGCCGAACAGCATCTGATATATACGAGGGTTGCCAAAGCGAACAAAACGATGTCACAAATATGAGCGCCATACTCCGACAAATTGATACAATATGATGATGAATGTTGCATAGTTTTGTGTACATGTGTGTTCACAGCTTATATCTGAAGTATTTTTCGTAAAATTTGTTAAAACGTTGAGAATAAATACATAAACACTCAACAAAACATGTATATTTTTAAGCAAGAAAATCGTAAGCGCCAGCGCTAATTGTAGTCAGCAACATAACGTTGTCGTTACTGCGCATGCGATAAATCTCCAAGAATCTTGGAGATTTCATCGTATGTTACCAGGGTCTTCCTCAGCTCACGCGCCACCACGAGGAAGACCCTGGGGACGAGGTTGATATAACACAGTATCAAAAAATTAGTTTTGTCGATATCCCTGTATATTATTTTGTAGCATCTCAACAATTTATTTAATATACAGAACGCAGACAAAATTATACTTACGATAAGATTAGGCCGATAATTTCGGCCACATCACACATTAATTGCCAAAACAGTAAATTTGCCAACTTTTTATAAACGTAAACATTGTCATTGACATTGACATTGTATTGAAAAATGTAACACGATGACCTACGAACTGTTGTACCTAAGACATAATAAATTTTAATCTTGAATTCAATTAAATTTATTGAAACAAAGGCTTTGTTATTAAAAGCTAGTATATCTCGATTAATTAGCTATAGTTAGTATTATGCCAACAGCAAACTTCGCGCTTGTTATTATCCTTTTACTTCAATTCCGGCACAAAAACCAAATATCTTAGTATCTCTCATACATTCATGCAAGTCATACATAACTATCCATATCAATAAAACTCATTGCGGCTGTCTGCATGTGCACAGGCTACAATATGCGGGCCTTGAATAAATGAATAATTAAAATATTACAAAAAATTCTGTCAAATTCTGCGACGCCTATTGATGGCATACCGTCTGTTCACAGACTGTATATACTATGAGACTATACAGCACGCAAAATATATTTTTATATCAGAAAAATGCTGTTTTTATATGACTATGCTTTTATTGCAGATTAATTTTCATATAAAGATAGATTAGGGTTGAAATTATAGCTTTAATATAAACGAGCGTGCTATAAATGTGGAACCAGAGCTGTAGACAAACATTTATATATAGACATGATATCGCATTTATACTGCACGGGGATATTATATTTATAAAATAACGTGTCTGCCTATACTGGCTACAGTCATAGAAAGAATAAAATATAGTTGTACAACTAAATTTCGTGACATAAATTGAGCTACGAGATTTAAATTGAAATATAAGAAATTCATAAATAGAAATGCAAAAACTCGGGCCTCGTATGAAATGCAGCGAGTTGAAGCCCCGAAATAGAGTCTAAAATTGCATAGAAATAATACATACCCATGTTAAATCGTTTGCCCAAGGCCTGTTCTAACATTTCGACCAGCACTCATACGCGTCGTCATATTTATTTGTGCGTGCTGATTTTGCTGACTTGCAGTTCTCACGAAAATTTGATGATACGGGGGGTGCTAATAGCACAAATCCCCATATTTGTTATCTCAGTAAACTTTTAACATTGCTGTAATGTAGACGTTTAATCATTGATCGTCAAGCTAAATCAAATTTAAGAAATTTTACTGTTGCTGTAAATACCGTTTTAACGTTAAAAATTCTCCAACCTTGAAGTTTTTTTAAATATGGCATTGAGATAACATTTGTAACTCCCCCCGGAAAGTTTACTCTATGTATCTCTCGCTTGAATTTCGCCACTCATCACAATAGTGCAACGTTTCCATGGAAACATTGCACTAAAAAATGACATAAAATATGACATAAAATATCCCACATTTGTGGCTTGCAGATTATCACAACACGTGTCTAAAATGCATGAAGTAGGATTTCCCAGACCCTAAACATAGAAATATTTTCCGGGGTCCATGCTTCAGGTAGGCCGAAGAATTAGACCCTCGATGAGACCACTCATTCAGGGGCTGGATACGCCCTTCATGGCACTATTAAGATGGATGCACTTATACCTTTGCATTCCTGAGATTACACCTACAATACAACACAGGTAAAATTATTTCTATTGATTAGAATTTTTCCTTTTATTTTTTTCCAAATTTTACAATTATCTTTTTTTCCTTTCTTGGGGAATATTTTATGGCAACTAAAATCGTTTCTGGAACCAATGGTTCCGTGGTCCACCTGTGGGCCTTACCATCTTAAATATCAATTATTCGATATATATCTGGGTAACAACTGGGAAATGAAGCCATGCATTTACCTACATTTAAAAGTTTTCTGGCAGCGGTGCTGCTGCCGGACATTTGCCAACACTGTTTTTTAACCTCTTCCAGTTTATGTTTTCATCACCATATATATTAGAGACCTTAAGATGTAGGACGGCAAAGCGACGACGGCGACCAAAACAAATTCACCCAAATAAATTATTGTAAAGAAATCTTATCGTACATTATCAATCGTATGAATTCGCGCGCTTTTCTTAACTCTCGCAACATTCCCGCGTGTTTGGATCAGGCCATCCAAACACGGAAACCATAAAGTAATTGTATAGTAACAATGGATATAATATTCAAGAAGATTGTTGAATGATATAACAGCTCAAAAAACACTTTCTGTATATTTTCTAGCCTGAGTATCAGACTTACTTTACAAAACAAAGTCTGACAAATCTTAATTAGAAAAATAAAGTTTATATTTAGGGACGGGCCATTACAAATGTGAGGGAGGAGGGGGAAAGAAAGAAAGCAAAGCAAAATATACCTTAATTAAAATTCCTGACCGCAGAAAAAATTGTCCGATGGTCCGCCTCTTAGTATCCAACATCTCAAAATGACATATTAAATTTCCTAGTTAGGCCATCTTTCACTTCCCTCCACTCCCAACTAAGGAAGGGAAAATGGCATGAAACCCAGGCTATATATTTTCAGGTTAGTATATCCTTCACCCAACTTTTTGAATATTAAATAATTATCCATTATATGCAACATCAATCAGGTTCAAACCCTTTTATGGTGGGTAAACGAGCCCTCATGTCTTCCAGATTACGCAACTTTTGTTGAG